AATAAATTTGTTTCCCAAAGTCTATATTCTATATCTACTATTTTATATATTATATATTATAAAATTTAATGGCTAGTTTCTTTGATTATTTGGTAGATTTTCAATAAGACAATACAAAATTATTTAAATTTGACTAACGAGTATTTTTCTAATCCAGTTATGTGATTATTTTCACAAGAAATATCCTACATGTACATAAAAGCATAGTTGTCAGACCCGATCCGGACACTGACTCGGATAATGCAATGGGTCAGTGGGTCAATGGTTGGACTGGTGACCCGGTGGTTGGACCGACGGGTCAATTCTTGTTAAATATATTATTATCTATTTATTGGATATAATGAAATATGAATTTGAAGTAATAAACAATCATCAATCAAAAACAAATTTATGTGGCAAAAATAAACAAGATAGCTTTATATACAATAAGAATATTCTTGCAAAAATGAAATCAACATTTAAAAAATAATCAACCATAAAGAACGTCTTACAAAGTAAATTGTTTGAAATAAATCAACACTTTCTCAATTAAGAAGGATTAGAGCGCATCCATGCTATATCCGTTTTTCCTCTAGCTTGACTTTTTGGTGAAGAAGAATGTGGAGTACTATTATCACCAAGGAACTATACAAAAACACAAATTATGTTAAATTATATATCATTAGGAAAGAAACTAGTATGTGTTGGAGAAAAATTACAATGTGCCACGAGGAAGAGATTGTTAACCAAATAATAACCATCGAACATGGCCTGAATTTGAATCATAAGAATAGTGGACTTGAATTTTGTGTTGCAAATTGAAATTCTAAAATGAAGATGGCTCAAGATCTAACAGTGAAGTAGTTGTAACTGCAATAACATTTTCCATCAAGAGAATTGAACTTCACCGATCAGAATCAATAAAAATATTATAAATGAAATTCCTTGTTCCAAATATGATTGTGGAACCAATCCCATTCTATAATTAAAGTTTCTCACAAACCATTGCATAATCAGAAAATAATTCTTAATGATCAAATAACTCAGTTTATGGAATGTATAATAGAATAACTTCAGTTCATGGGCTGTATGATAGAGTAATCACCAGAATGCAAAAATGAAATATATCAGTATAAATTATTTGGTACGAAACAGTTCACAAATATGTAATTTTTTTATTTATTTTTAATTATCTCTGTAAAGGGAAGTAAAGAATAAATGCAATCTTAAGAAGTATTAATCACAACTTTTTAAAAAGGTACGCTATTAAATAATAAGCTCCTTAACCATTGAAAACCAGAAAACATTGCTAAAGAACAGGAAAACCATACTACCTCTGTACCTCAGATAAAACATAAATAGATGAAACAGGAAAAGGAACAGGATTAAAATTTAAAACTGTAAATTTTAAACTTACATCTTCTTCTTCCATCTAATGCAACTTGAAATTGAAGCTTTGGATTCTTGGGAGTGAATTTGGGAGAGAACTCAGAGAACTAGAGAAGGCAGAGGCTCTTCTAGGGCTCGCGTACGTGAGTGAGAGAATAGAGATTGGGCTTTTGGGTTTTAAAGTGTGTGCATTTGGACCGGACGATTTCAACACAATTGGGCCAACGATTTTTCCATTAAACCGGCGGGTCATTTGGGTTTCAACTGGGTTGGCTGCACTTTGGAAGTTAAGTGAGGCTCGGACCGGACCATGGTCCTGTTCGACAGGTTCCGGACCGAACCGGCCGGTCCGGTTCGGTCCGGGTGTAATAACTATGCATAAAAGTGTCCACAACCCCATGTGAGGGTGTGAACACCCCTATGTACATAAAATTATGCACCCCATATGAGGGTGTGGACACCCTTATGTACATAAAATTATATACATGTAGGTGTGTACACCCGTATGTACATAAAATTATGTACATCTAGACAAATCCTTTTTATAAACATCTTTTTTATGAAAACTTTATTCTGTCTCTACTTATCAAAGGTAAGCAGACTAGACACAATAGGTAATGTGATGCAAAGATGTGCTCGAGGAAATAAAAGGAACATGCACCACGCCCGTAAAATCTAGGAAAGTGCGACATTAACATTCTACCATAACCAGTATTCAATATAAGCTTACAAGATATGGATAGAATAACGTTTTCTCAAGTTTCAGATGAAAAGGAAAAAGAAAAATTATTTACAAAGATATAACTTGAGCTCTTGTTACTTTGTCCAGGTTTCTCAAGAACTCAGATTCTTCCTTGCACCAAGTACAAGAACCCAGTTCGGCTTAGAATAGCCTCGTTTCAATGCTTTTACTCCCACCGGATTGTCCTTGCTCTGTCACACCATATTACGATAAATCAGTATCAATAGATTTTCATAGAAATGAAAACATAGCAGTAAGATATTGGAATAATTACCATTAAGCAAGTTCCGGCTTTGAGATCACAGATGGGATAGTCATGCGGGCAGCAGCTTGATTGGTCATCACAGCAGGTAGCAGACTCCAACGGGCAGCATCCCCAGCCGAAGCAGAAATTGGCATACAGGTATACACAGCAGCACGTGCTTCCTTCAGGGCAGCTGTAGTAATCATCACACTCGGTTGGAGGTTTGACGGGGGTTGGAGGTGATGGTCCTGGATTAGGAGGGTTCTGACCATTCTTGAGAGGGTACGAGGCCTCTATTGCTATCCCGCACTTCCCTGTTTTCATATTAGCCACATTGCGCTGGAGCCTGATGTACCCCTTCTCTCCCCAACTTGGACCCCATGAATTTTTCACGATCCAATAATCAAGGCCGTTCTCTGTACCGTATCCAACAGCAACAACCCCATGGTCTAGTTTTGTTCCACAATGTCCAGTAAAGACACCCTTAAAAGTACAAGGACATACAAAATTGTCAGTATTTGCAATAGCTTAACTTGCTCAGCAAATGCTAATACTATTCCATGACAACATGATTTCTAGTCGTAGAAGCATGTTAGGTACAAAAATAAGTGGAAAAAAGTTTTTGGATGTGGCACACGAGGAGGGGTCGGCAAAGAAGGAATAGTAGCTTAAAAGGCTACACTTCAACAACGTATGAAAAAACAAGTTCAGTTTATTCATCTCTAAAAGTTACATCTTCATAAATATTCAATCATTACAAGGTTGTGGCACTTCCATAAAATGCTAGAAAGGCGATCATAATATCATACCGATTGGTAGAGTTGGAAAGCCCTGCCCCCAGCTTCAATGGCAACACTAACAGGTTGATTAGCAAGTAGCAACAGCCTTTTTTAACGACTGTTCATCATTTTCCGGAACATCTTCATAACCATCAATAGAAACAACCCGAGCACTTTTCTGAATCAAATGTCAACAGCAAAAATCAGCGACTCGCAACGGGAAGAACAGAATTGGAAAGCGAAACACAAAATAACAAATCATTATTCTATACCCGATTTTGATCGCAAGTGCCATCACGTGCTCGGTAAGGGTAATCTTCCTCAGTATCAATCCCACCATTCTTTTTGATAAACTCGAAACCATAGTCCATCAGACCGCCATTACATCCCTGATTGTATGACCTGTCACAATCAACAAGCTCTTGCTCCGACAAAGATATTAGTTCGCCAGTTACAATCTTGTTTATCCCTTCAACAGCACCGACAGTCGAGAAAGCCCAACAACTCCCTTCATTAGAAAATAACCGAATCATGAGCTTGGCCAAACTATATAGAAAGTGTCCATAGATTCCAATATCAACCATGATAATAGATACTTGGATTGGATATGTTCAAGAAAAGTAAGAAGTATGACAAGAAAATAGATACTGATATTGATTAAAAATAATGATCCACGATTATGCACAAGTCTTGTCTAAGGAGTTTTGTGTCTAGAAAGAATACAACTCGGTGGATAAGCTCCATGGACAAAAATCTCATGTGTACAAGAGAGGGTCGATGCCTCATCGAGGAGTCCCAGCACCACCTTCGAACTCGATATTCGTGATGCAAATATTGTTTTGCTGTTATATAAACCTATGTCTCAACTCAATCTGCTAATAAGGCCTTCAGAGTTGATGACACAAACTCCTAATTTTCCAGATATGAAATTTCAGAAACTGACAAAAAGGGGACAAATAGGCCTCAATAATTTCCCTGCCAATTTCAATTTTGAATCCACCATGAAACAAGTTACAAAATGGTCCAAATTATTTGTTTCTTAGCGATTAAAACTCTAGAAGTCTACCAGAAACTAACAATTCCCAAACATAAAAAAGTCCCAATCTTTGTACCCCATCAATGACCCGACCCGGGCATCCTGTCGAAACTCAAAAGTCCATCTTCCGAGTCCAACTCTCGACAGTCGACCCTTCAAGTCTCCACGTCTGCACGTCCCATGAAAGCATAATAATCACACACACACATATATATACACACACACAATAGACACATGGGGTTTCTACGATGAATCCGCAACCAGAACCGGAGACGATACACGTTTTATATAGCATAAACCAACTAAAACATACCACATTGGCCTTGATCCTTGACCGGAGCAACGGCGCCTTTCTCTCTCCAGTCAATGGACTCCGGCAGCTTGTCGCCGGCCTTAAACTTATAACGGTCATTATTCACACCGTTCATCAATCGGGTTTTCTTGTTCAACTTACCACCCACAAACATGGACCGGTATTCCTCATTGGTCAGATCGGAGAAACGGTTCAGCCCGACTTTATATTCCCGGTCGACGGAATTGTGCTCATCAATGAACCTCAAATTATCCTTAAAAATCTCGAACCTCCTCTCCTTCTCGGCAATGCCATTGTACGCCTTTCCGTGCTTCACGAGCCAAGACTCGTACAGCGACATGAGTTCATCGTCGGAACGTTGTAAAGTGTGGCCCATGTCGTGGTTCTGGTCGTATGTTATGATTGACATATCTAGGGCATTAGACAGAAAAAAGAACAGGAAAATATAACAAATCAAAAATTTGAAAAACGCCATTGTTGAGAGCTTGTGAATGAGGGTTTTGCAGATTGCTGTCTGCCTTGGATTATTTTGGGTTTTTATAGAGAGGTGGGTTTGGAGAGAGTGGCAATGTGATTCCCAGAATGTTGTGGATATGTCAAACTGATTGGAAGAAGCGAATGAGACGCGATATCTGATTGGGGGAATGGGTTTTTGGGTAGACAAAATGCAGGAAAAACTGGAATTTGTATGGGATTGGGACAGTATGGGGAATGGGGTTACGTTATAGAAGCGGTGTATCGGGTCAACGAAGAATAAGGCAGCGTTTGGGTAGGTTCGTTTGAGGTGATTATAATTATTTTTCAATAATTTATTAATTGATTTCAGATATTCGTGTTAGATATTCTTAGGTGATGTCCCTCGATGAATATATATTAATATCTAAAAGATCAAATATTATTTTTAACATTACATTTCAACAAATTAAAATATTATGTTTAGATAATAGCTGTTTTTTAATTTACTACCATTAGCTTGAAATAATTCTTGCTTGGAGAAATTTATGAATCATTTTGTATTTCAATTATGAAATAATTTATCTTTTAACAATCACAGTATCAGTGAAGATGCTTAATGGACACTTTTTTTTTTTTTATAACAGTGGATGTTCGGGTCAGCTTGCGCGCACCTCAACTAATTCCACGGGGCCCTGAAGTTTNGCACGAGCCGAGCTTAAGCTCGAATCGTTGGAAACGAGCCACGAGCTCGGCTCGTGCGGGCTTGTGTGGGTATGGGCCGAGTCGGCTCGGCTCGGCCCATTGACATCCCTAATTAGCTTGAAATAATTCTTGCTTGGAGAAATTTAAGAATCATTTTGTATTTCAATTATGTAATAATTTATCTTTTAACAATCACAGTATTAATGAAGATGCTTAATGGATACTTTTTTTTATTTGATAACCGTGGATATCCGGGCCAGCTTGCGTTCACTTCGACTAATTCCACGGGGCCCTGAAGTTTACGGTCGGGTACTCACCTTAGTGGCCTTGAGGGGATTTGAACTTATGACCATTGGAGAGCAAACCCAAAACCTGACCAATTGAGCAACCTCTCAAAGTTCTTAATGGATACTTGTTTAATATTACATGCTAAACTTATTCGCTGAGTCTAAGTTATGAGCTCAAAATCAATTATTTCATTGAAGACATTAAATTACTTAATAGCATTTTCAGTATACTCAATAAATATAAGATATTCTTTATTTTAGAGAATCTAATATAAATTTTAACTTTTTTAATTAAAGAGTAACACTCACTTTTTATTTTTACTTTTATAATAACTAGTAAAAGTGAACGTGCGTTGTACGTTATTCTGAAATGTTTTATAAGTACAGTGAAAGTAATATTTTACCCTCCATTTACCATTTTGAATTTAAATATAAGAGAAATGCAAGTCGTGAAAATGTTAATTATTATACACGCACGTAAATAGTGAAATGCATATTTGAGCCCGAGTATTAGAATTACAATTAAATGCATAAATAAAGATGAATGGCAAATACGATACACAAATTAACGTGAAAGTTAATTAATTTAGAATTAATATCAAAGAATATATACGTGACAATAAATGTTAATTCATTTATATTAAATGAATATAATTTAATTTCCAATTGATTGAAATTAGATGCTAATTAACATACATGGACGTGAATAATGAACTTTATTCTTGAATTTGAAATTTTAATTAATATTAATTAACTGAATGTGAATGTTAATTATTTGATAATTAATAACATGTGCATTGACGTGAATGTAAATGTGGAATTCTAATTAATATTAGTTAAATAATTGTGAATGTTAATTAAATGAGGATTAATTACAGTATTTATTACAAATTGTAAATTAAATACATATTAAAAACGAAAATTAAGATATTATTGAAATAGTTGAATTATAATAGGGCTATAATCGTCCAAAAAATGATTGACACTTGATGATATTTAATATGTTATAAATTATATTTAATAACTTATAAATTTAAAGAGTAATGCTATTCATCCCCACTGGAGTTACAAATACAGTTTAGATAACTCTAAATGATAGGTTAAATGAAATGTGTTAATGTGACATTAAATGATATATGAAACTAAATAAGTCATTTAATTTCACATTTCATTTAACCTATCATTTATAGCCACTTACACTGTATTTGTAACCCCATTGAAGATGACTAACATTACTCAAATTTAAATTATTATTACATCATCCACTTATCCAAACTCCCGTATGCTCCCAACTTCTTATAAATGTGAAGTTGCCAATAATTTTGCTTCCCAACACCCAATTTTAAAGTAATTGTAACCTTTATCTTTTTCCCATTAACCCTGTATTTCTTGTGATGAAAGATAATACATTTGAATGAATTTCAAACTAGTAAAGGACTAAAATTTTCAAAGAACAAATTGTGCTCGTTCCATTCAATCCAATTTTAATCGAAACTCAATCAAGCATTTACATAATTCTATGTTAAAAGGAAAATTGAATCGAAGTACATCAATTTGGTACTTTTTAGAGTCTCACATCTAGCATATGTTAAATTAGATGTGGACAAATCAAATTTATCTTTCCATAAAAATATATGGCTAAAAACTATAAAAATAACACACTTCATTTTAGTATAACTAAGATTAAAAGAAGAAGAGGAAGAAGATAAAAGAAAAAAGGAATAATTTCATCAATCTTCTTCGTCTGATGAATTTAATTCCAGGGAGATGAACAGGAATTGGAGCAAAACTCAAAGCCACGCGCCGCTGCCGCCATCTTTCATACCAAAAAATGCCTCAAATTCTCTCAATTCTACACCAGATTTTCTCTGCACAAGAACTCATAACTGCATAATTTCTCTACTTCTCTATCAATTTCATGCACAAACATATGCGTTTTGTCCTTGCCAACTCTTTTACTCCTCGCCAGAACTCTGGTAGTAAATATCGCTATCATCCTCCCTGAAGCCTCCGCAAACTAGCCTCGTGGTCCGTCTATTAGAATTATGTCCCAGGGGACGTTGTATATGTGGTTTGGCAAATTGTTTATTGCTAGGGATGGCAACGGGGCAGGGGGAGGCAATTCCCCGCCCTGTTACCCATTTAAGACGGGGCGGGTCCTTGCCCCATTTATTATCCCATTTAATTTTTTTTAAATTTTTGATAATTTATTTTTATTACCCCATTCATTTGATTTAAACAAATAATCTTAGTTTCCATTTTTTATTAAAATTTATGAAATTTCGTGAAATTTTCCATTTAAAGTATTGAATTCTACAAAAAAAAAAAAATTAAATGGGCGGGGCGTCCGTTACCCTTCTCCGCCCCGGGGCAAAATTTCCCTCCATATTCCCGTCCCGAATACCCGATTAAGCGGATTATTCAACGGGGCGGGACCCCACGGGTATTAGGTTTGTCGAATTTTTTTGTTATCCCTATTTATTGCCAATTTAAAGTCTGAAAACAAGAGATTCTGCATGGGCCTGCATTCATTTTTAACCTGCAATTAATAGTACGCCATCAAAGAATACAATTCGCTGAGTTTGGTGGTGAATTACACGTCATGAGCTTCAATTCTGGGGTGCTTTTCTTCGAGCTTGGAGACTAAGTACAAGCTTTCGTCCACGAAAATAGTACGGCCGTTATGGTTGAAGGAATTCCAGAGAAAGGTCTCGTGGGTGATCCCGAGAATAAGGAAATTACATGAGGCTGCACAGTGGCAGAGCACAGCAACAATACTCTTCAGCTCAGTTGATGACATCCAAGTGGCAGCTGTGTCATTTATAGATGCATAGTGGAAGAGCGCGTCAAAGACGAAGAGGACATTGGAATGAAGAAAATTAAGATTTTGGAGTAAATGACCCGAAAGTAGGCGCCACAATTTACCTATTTTGCCCCTGCATGATTTTTTCTATTCTACTATATTTTAGATTCCTTCTTGGCATTCTACTTCTTCTACAACTCTACTATGAAGGCTTGAACGTTCCATACTTGTTCTATATATATAATTGACTCCTCATTATAATTTAGAAGAAGTTAGACAGATCATAAATATAAAATCTTTGTATTATTTTTCCATATTATAATAAAATATTCATTCTTTGCAATAATTATATTATTCTTGTGTTCTTGTGATCTTTACTTCATATTGTGGCTATAATCTCTTATTTTTTCGCAACAAATTGGTATTAGAGTATTCATGTCAATAAAAATTGGTATCAGAACTTTTGGTATTGAAATTTTTTGGAAGATCGAGGTTTTTCATGATGGCGATAGTGAAGTATGATATTCCGCTATTAGATCGCAATACAATATTCTTGTTGTAGCAGGTAAACATGCAAGTAGTACTCGTTCCGATGAATTTAGACGATGCATTGTTGGGATGTGATAAAATGCCCACAACTTAGACTAGGAGGAAAAACAACAGAGGGATCGTAAAGCCATAACTATAATATATCTTCATCTTTCCAATAATATTTTTATGACGTTTTGAAGGAGAAGTCAGCCGTTACATTATGGTTAAAATTGGAACAATTATGTATGACGAAGACTCTTACTAGCAAATTGCATCTAAAACAACGTTTATATTCTTATCGTATGACACAATGCACATCTCTTGAGGATCACATAGTAGCTTTTAAGGAATCTGTCATTGATTTGGAGACTTTGGAGGTCAAATATGATGAAGAAAAATTGGGATTGATTTTGTTGTGTTCATTGCTCGCTTCATATATGTTTTTTAGAGAAGTCTAGATACTCTATAGTCAAAGGAGAATATGAAGCATTTTATAGCATCTGGGGATCATGGAGATGGTCTCATTATTCATGGTGGTCGTTTGAAGGGCAAGTCAAAATCTAATTTCAAAATTTGTAATTATTGCAAGAAAAAATGGCACTTGGTAAACGATTGTTATAAGTTGCAAAA